GCATTCTTTTGTGACTTATTTGCCATTTTGTTTTGCTCATATCTTTCTTAGTTTTGTGTGTACATTTGGTTGGCTGCATTTATGCTCAGGCGTTTCGTTCACCTGTCTGTCGATCATTCATTCACCCAGTTACCTCGAAACATGCGAGCGAACATATGTATACGTATGTATTTATGTAGACACAACAAAATACACATGTATATACATTTGCATGTTGCCTTCGCTCATTGCGTTGTGGGTTTTTTTTTTGCGATTTTTTTTTGTTTCATTACAAAACATATTATTTATAATGCTTGTACGTACATACATACATATATGCTTTGTACTCTTTACAGGCAATCATCAGCTGTACGACGTGAACGTCGACCCGATAGAGCGGTGTATATTCCAAGGGCACGACGCAGTCAAACTACCCCACCAACGACGGTGGCGCTCACGGCGACGGCAACGGCCACAACAGCTGTCGTAGCAACAGGAATACAACAACAAAATGCTCCGCAGAAAACCGCAGCTACCATCTCACTAGCGAGTGCTTCGTTAACTCGGACGATGCCATCAAGTCACAGTCACCACAGCGCTGGTGGTTGTGGTGGTGACGGCGGCAGCAGTAATCAGCACCAATTGGCAATTACTTCAGAGGCAACAGTGTCAGTATACACAGCGGCGTCGAGCAAGTTAGACGAATTATCTGGCAACAAAAGTACTACTGCTGCTGGTGCTAGCACAGTTGTTTCTGTTTCGGCTGGAAAGAAGACAAAATCAGCTACAGTGCATAGTCGTGAGCGGAGAGAACGTTCTAAAAAGCTAACAAACGCTAATGTTCAGTCACACGAGGCGAAAATATCAAAATTATCATTGGAGAGAAGCGAAACGAAACTACAACAACAAAACGGTCATGATGAAACGTTGTTAAATCAATATCATCATTATCACCACCCACAACAACAACAACAACAGCAGCAAACATATCTGTATACTGATCATTTGCAAAGATCCTCGCTCTGTGAGCAACAATTTACCGAAGGTGTGCAATTACCAGCAGAAATAATTGCAAACAACGAAATGAATTCGTCGTCAAATTCGGGCAAACGCAATAAGGCGAAACAAAGTAAAGTGCAGAATTTACGCATCGAAGATGTTGTTGCATCGAAAGATAATGGTACACGGAGTACAACAACTAAATGTGATATTGAAGCGCAGGAACTGCAGCGCGCATCGAAGGTAAATACTTACTCGTAAAGTGCTATGCTGTAAAAAATATTGCTGTGAATTTAGATGCCTGAGAGTGCAACAAAAAAATGCAAATTTATAATGCAATGTGCTCGAATGCATTTTTTATTGTGCATGTGAAAATGTATAGTGAGTGGCTTGCAGTGAATACATAACGCTACTTTACAGTGAAAATTTGTTAAGACCAGTAATTCGAATTTTACAGCAGAGAGGAAAAACTTCCCCTAACTCACTTTATACAAATATTTTGCAAAACTTGCATAACAGCATTTTTGCGTATTCAAAGCAAAACATTCCCTCATGCAAATCGGTATAGTTCAAACTGCGAAGTCAATGCAACTTTTTTTATTCTTTTGAATTTAGCAGATTTTCTGGTTTTTCTCTTTGGTCTTAGCAACTTTTCGTTTCAGTGCATAGAAAAGAAATGTATAGAAATAAAAGAAGTGATTAGGTCTTTTTGGTAGCGATACATTTTTAATTTGCCTCAATTTTCAAAAAAAGTGGACTTTCTAATTTTTTACTCAAAACTAGCGATTTGAAAAACGAATACGAAAGATTTTAGGCAAATTATAACAGAGTTCCATATGAAAAAAGTTAAGTTATAAAATGTAGCCCAGTTGTGGCAGGTTTTTACTTGGAAAAGCAGTTAGGGCCCAAAAAACTTGCTCAACATGAGAGGGAATCTAATTTCGATAATGTATTTAAAAACAAGTATTTGGCGAATATAAATTTGTGAATAATTTGGAAAAAGGTTACCAATTCGTCGGAATATTTTTTTTTGTTATGTATGTTACCGCATAACTTTGGACCACGTTAACCGATTTCTATAATTTTTTTAAAGAAAGGTGTTATCTCACAGGTGGTCCCATATTAATTTGGTTTAAATCCGATCATCGGATTATGAAGAAATTTACGATAATCTTAAATGTTTATATAGGAATTGAAGTCAGTTTTGTTTTTGCTTAAAAATTACTTGTTTATTCTATGGATAAGTTTTCGTGATATTTTCATGTGTACGTAGCGTATGAGAAACATTATTTCCTGCTCAGTTTCCATACAAAAAATCTGCGACCTTTTATATGACCACTTATTACTTCTTTATTTATCCATCGATTTGCCTCATATCAACTTGATTTTTTTTTTTTAACAGAACAGGCTTTAACTCAGCCTTGAATGTACTAAACGTGCGCTCGACGTGAGTTGACGCAAGTGGCGCCCAATTTAAACATGGAACGTTTGAAACTTTATATTATCAGGAATAAGGGCTTTTTCCTCGCTATAATCACTTTTTTAAATGTAGAATAGGCAAAAAAGGCAACATCAAATGTGTATATATTAGGCTGGGTCGATTTTGTATGGGGGAAAATAAAAGTCATTTGACCGCATTGTAATAGTAATATTATGATGTTTTAGGCCTAAGCTAATTGTTATTGGCCAAGAAAGATTAATTTAAAACTTATCTTTAGCCCGCGCAATTAAATCAAAGTTTATGAATTTCGAAAATGAAACTTTGGCTTGTAATATCTGTGGAATGAGTTATTGTTATAAAAAGGATGATATATCAAATTAAGGGCTATTAAATTTAGTACCTCACGTTCATTTATCATTTTTCAATAAGTCTACACGTTTTTAAGATATCAAGATAAAACTTACAAAAACTATAATTTTCCCTTATAAATTTTCAATTCTTCATTACTTCAGCAATCAAGTGAAATACAAACACAACAAGTGAGCCGAGATTTATTTCAAACGGTTTAATGTTTTCGGATGTTTATGTAATACTAGAGGGACCATGAACTTAGTCACGCCGATTTGGTCAGTTTTCAAGATCGTGGTGAATGAATGTATTGTCAAAGATTGGGAATCGTTTGACAAGTTATTAGTAGTTTCAAACATATAAGAATTAACATACATTAGCATAATACAATTAGGGTGAGAAACGCCCATTTTAAGTCCATTTTTGCAGTCTTGAAAACTGGTGCGGAATGGTTTCATTAGTCGCCGAAGAAGCACATTTTTCGCGGTTTCTAAATTTGCCTTTATATGAAAGTAGGGGACGTGCAATAAGTTTTTAGATATACATAAATATTTTAGTTAATTCCATTATGTGAAAAAGTGACTGTAGGTAAATGCAATACTCTTTAACATGTCCTGGGAAATCCTTTTGAGGACTCTCCAATTGGACGATATTGCTTTGCATTCAGCTTGAACGAAAAAAGTCACTCGCTGGCACAGTTTTCTGTAATCCGGTTCTTTTATTTAAAGGTTATTTATACAATTGAAGATAATTTTTTTTAGAAAAAAACTGGAGAGCCACTTAAGTTTTTCGATATAACTTTAGTAAATGTTACTCGATCGGTACGTAATAATCAACAAATTGAAGGCGAGACTTACTGTTACTGATTTATGATAATAATATGATGAAAATCGTTCATATTTTAAACCAGTTATTTTAATATAAAAAAATGTTAACACAATTTTTTTGTCATTTCGCTACATTTGCAATTTTTAAATTGTATGCATAAACATAAGTAAACTAATTAGTGTTTCTAGAAGTTGTGCCTGTTCAGTTTTTCCATACTCATTTGCATAAACAAAATTTTTCCACGATGATGGAAAATAATGGCTATTCTATAAGAGCTACCGAAATTGTTCCTAAATTTGCAAAAATTCGCAAACTATAGCTAATATTAAAAAAATATTAGAATATTTGGAACTAGCGATCTAAATGCACGCCAGCAATATTAATGCTGTTCTTCACATCTTTTGACTATAGGCCAGTGCAATTATCAAGAGAACAATTAAAATTTCCTTGAAAATAGTTAAGTTTCAGATTAACGATAAGCTAAAGTGCTGCGAGAAATGCTACTTGACTTTATCTTTTGCGTTAACGGATTCATTATCTAATAATATGCACCAACCCTTTTTAATGAACCCAGAATTTTTAACAAGAATTGGTCTTATTCGACTAGTGTGCTGTGGGTCTCTTGGCGGTCGATGCGCGGGCTCTCACCATTAAAATAAAATACTAATATTTTGCAGGCTTGTTGTTGACTTCATGATACAATATATTTTCACTATTACCAAGGGATTTGAGAGAAATTAGATTTTCGACCCGCCCTAGTATATATGGAATCAGGGAAAGCTAAATCGTGGACATTCTTGATCGCAAATACTCTATCTCTTTAGCAGAAATAAAAGGCAATTTCCATAAAATCCGTTCCCTGATTATAGCAACGAAAAAGATTCTTTAAACAATAAAATCTTCTAAGCCATATTTAAAACCATAAAAAACAGTCAAAATGTTATGTCAGGTGTTTATTTGCAAGTTTTTAGAGATTTAGCGTCGAAACCCGTTGTTCTTAGTTTGTTTCAAGCGCTTAGTTGAAAAGTTATTGAGCAATTACATTCTAGATTTTCACTTTAAATTGGTTCTGCTCGGTACCAAAATTAGCCATCATCAACCAGCAATCCGAATCGAGAGTCTAAACGAATCTCCTAAAAAATTGGAGAAAAAACATAAAAGTTAACGAGCAGAAAATTTAATAAAAAAGCAAGATAAAGACAAACCAGCTGAGTTTGTTTTTGTTTTTCTTTTTCCAAATATATACATATGTAGAAGAGGTAAGCGCTACCTAAAACTCACATAGCAGGCAGTTAAATAACAAACGTGTAATATCTTATCTTATCACTTTAAATGTATATTTACATATATACAGTGGGCGTCAAAAAAATGCATACTCTGACGTTGTGACGTCCTTTCCTTATTTATATTTTCCTTAACCAAATTTTTCTTATTTAAAAAAAAAAAAAAGATAGCTCATTTAACAGCGAAATTTAACAAAATCGTTTTATTTTAATTTCACACAGAAATATCAAGAAATCTCGTTTCATTTATTGCGAAAAAACATTAGTACAATAAGATCTACGATCTTTTATAGTAAAACAAATAACAGAAAGAGTCAGAAAAATAAAATCAATAAATAGTAATTCTTAAAACTAAGATTTATAATAAACCTACACTTAAAAATAATACAATTGGCTGAAAAATATATATTTAGATAGCGAAACTCATAATTATGCAAAATGCATACATACATACATACATATGTATATACATACATATTTGTTTTAGCGAAAGTTCGAATATAGAACGAAATTAAAGTTGCTTTTATTTATACTACTACGAATGGATATTGGATTAGAGTTCCATGCACGAATAGCATTGACAAAGAATAGCCGTGCGAAGGTTTGATAATTATAACTTATAGTACCAAGTTAAAAGTCATTAATTCCTGCTGACTTTGGGAAAATGAGCTTGTCACATAGATAGCTAGGCTCTTTATACATAAAAGTCGACAGAGAAAAATGCAGGCGGGATATTTGCAAAATCAATTCGTTTTCAAGATATACGAGTTTTCACTGTTTAGACATAGCTCATTTCGCTTCGCCCAGGCAGAAATGGATGCTAAGTCATTATTTAAACTTGTACAGATTTCCCTTGTTTCCGCATTTTCAGACAGATATAGCTGAATGTCATCAGCATATGCATGCATAAGTATATACATGCTGGCAAGCAGAAAATATGTAATTTATAAAGAGACTGAATAATAATGTACGAAAGATAGATCCTTGCGGCACACCAGCTAGCAGTGGTTTTAGACCAGAAGCTTTAGAGCCAACTTTAACACACTGTGTTCTACCTGCCAAGTAGCTCAGCATGAGACGCATTGCGGAATCCCGTAAACCAAAATAGTATTTCAACTTCATGCAAAGTAACCCAGAAGATAATTTAGGTAGGCCTTCTTAAGTAAAGTCATTCTAAGAGGCCTACCCAAGAAGGGCTGAAGAAAGTACTTCCTTGCATGGCTTCTAGAAGGGCTTATCCATTTACAATTTACGCGAATGCATAAATTTATATTATTTATCATTACAAATGAATTTCAATAAATATTTTAAGTTGCAATAACACATGTTTGTTATAAACCTTAAGCAAATTCTTCAAAGATGTATGATTTTTATAAATTAAAGAAGCAACTTAAAAAAACTCCTCTACAAGGCCTTCTGGAAGGTCTTCCATGGGTAGCGAAAGAAGAAGCCCTTCAATTTGTGCCACTCCATACAAAAAAGAATGGAGATAGAAATGAAAGAATGACTCTCAGGAAGTCCTTTCGGAAGGACTTTTAACTCCTGAAATAATCTACTGGGAAGTCATGGCTCACAGAGTCAAAAGCTTTAGAGAAGTCAAGTGGGCATAATAAAGTCAATTGGTTTTTGTCAAATGGTACTCTAACGTCTTCTAAAGATTTTAAGATAGCCGTGGAGCAGCTATACTTTGCTCTGAAGCCTGACTGGAACGGAAACAGTAAACAGTGAGTAAAACTTCTTAAGACGACAGCAGAGAAATTGCACTGTATTTTCCTCGCCTAGACCAGCTGGATCTGCCTGACGATCTGGCAATATACTGTAATTGCAGTGCTAATGTTGTGCTTGCTAAGGTTTAGCAGGTTGCTTGTGCGTTTGGGCTGGTAGCGCATAGTTAACCTGATGGGCTAGCTTCGTCAAAATCTTTCCATGACCATATTTACTGTTTGGCCCCTAAGTACTTAAGGTGTTCAGTTATTAATCACTGCTATATTAATCATCTGAGTGGACACGCTTCGGTGATATACATACATACATACACATGCCGAAATTCTCAACAAGTTCTATCGATTGGAAATGGAAACATGCCCATTTCGCCATTTCAGATTCCTTATGGTAAAAAATTACGATCCAATCCTCATCAAAGTTTTCGCTTTCTATTTGCAGGAAATAAATCGCAGCAATCGTCGCATTATCAAGCAAACATTCGTCTCAGATGTGCTCGAAATTCCCGAGAAAATCGAACAGTCCACAGAAAATGACAACGATTCGAGTCAAAGAAGTCCTAATAACACTATGCAAATTCCCGTCCCGGCAGCTAATCGATCGGTGGATAGTACCACAGAGGAGGAAGAGGAGGAAGATGATTGGGAATCGATGTTTGATGATAGTGGAGAATGTTTAGATCCGAAAATTATGCAAGAACTCACCGCTTCAGTGGGTAAAGTGAAGATAGAATTACCAAAAATGGACTATAGTGTGAGTGCAGCAAATTTTCGATTATTAAAGTTGGTTTTTGAGTAAACATTTCTTTCGCATTTTTTCGCAGGCATATCTAACAAAGCAGTCCATACTCAATGATGAAGAGTTTCCGCACGTACTTGAAGTATCAAATTTCCCGGTGGAGTTTAAGAATCATGACCTTCTTATGGTTTTTTCGCAATACAAAGAATCGGGTTTCGATATAAAATGGGTGGACGATACTCATGCATTGGCTGTGTTCAGCAGCTCACGCATTGGTAAGCAGTTTTGCGCACACTGAAAAAAGCAAAGAAACAAATGCTATAATTTTTATTTTATTTTTTTTTTATTTTTGTATTATAACAGCTGCTGAAGTTTTAACAATGGGCCACCCATTCGTAAAGCTGAAACCATTAGCTGAAGCTACAGCTGAATCTCGCTTAAAGGCCAAGAAGTGTGCGGCATCACTGCAACCATATCGTCAGAGACCGGAAACTTGTGCGGCACTGGCGCGTCGTCTGGTAACCGGCGCTCTGGGTGTGCGACTGAAAACAGCAGCCGCAGAAAGAGAGAATGAAATACGTGTTTTACGTGAAGCCAAAGGTAAATTTTTTTTTTGTATTCAAATATTTTAGTAGCCTTTGTATGTTTAGCACATATGTAATTGCTATCTTTTTCTGCATTTTCAGAACGTAAGATGCTGGCAGCTAAGCAACGTGATGAAATATGGGAAAGCTAGGCATCAATGAATGCATCATAATTTGTGTACATTTTCCTGCCTGCAAACTGAATAAATATGGACTATAATTAGAGAAACAGAAGAAAATCGTTTTAAGCACGATTAGTTGTAGATGATATAATTTTTGAAGGAAATCCCATTATTTTAAATAGAAATAAGAGACTAGTAGAAAAATCTTTATTTAAAAATCTATACCCCTATGCTGTAAGGCGATGAAAATACCACTTAAAAACTGTATTTTTTCATCATCGAGTGCAATAAAATTTTGCTCAAAAAAAAATTATTTTATATATTATTTGAATTTGAGCAGTATACTAAGATTTGTTTGTGAGTTCGCATGCAAAATTGTATACTATATGCCATTGCACTGCAATACTAAAAACGGATATTTTTGCAATATTTTAGACAAAATTTTGTGAGTTATGAAGTGAAATACTATACAAAATTCACATGAATGTAAGAGATTTTACTGTATGCATTGTATTTTTGAAAAGTTGTTTATTTATAAGAGAATATTTTGCGAATAAATATTAAGAATGGTAAAGAATGTGGAATATTTGCTGATTTAAGTTGCTGGCATTTCCGGTATAAAGGTTTTTTTTCTTCAGAAAATACTTTCATAATGCTGTAATCGGGTCTTTAAACAATGTGTAACAAAGAATATAAACTTAAGTCTCAAAACGACTTTTCGTTTCCAAGGCAGTCGGGTCTACGTAATCGGAACTATCCAGATTTATATCTGGACTGGGAATTTCAAAGCTGTTACAACAGTAACAACCGCAACTACCACATAGGCAAGCCATCAACGACATTCACCGCCAACAACCATCACCTGTCACCACCCGCCCTGCTAATACTATTTTCCATATCGCGGACCCCGTCGAAACAGCACGAGTCTTGGGCTACCGTTAGTTGGGCTTTACATATTGGTCTGAAAATTTCCATAGTCGACACTACCGATAGTAGGCGACAGTTCTTTAGAAACCATCGATAACTATCGATAGTTTTCGATAGTCTTCTAAACCTACAATTTGGCTTAATATTGCGCTTGGCAACTTTGTAAAAAATATTTCTTTCAAAATCCGTAAATAGCTTGCTTAGAGTGAAAAGATGCTAAGTTTTACAGGAGAGGAAGAAACTTCTCATAGCCATTTTCTTCCAAAAATTTTGCGAAATTTTTAATAAAATATTTTACATGTTTAGAGCAAAGGGAAACTTCATTCGAATCAGAAATAAATAAAAACTTAATTTTTTTTTAGTTATTTATTTTATGCAATGCCAGATATTTTATCATTCAATATCAGATATTAATATTTAGTTTTTTCACGAATCTATCCTTTTTTCACTGGACGCTGCCGATCTTTCTTTAGTTAAAAGGTGCTGCCACTTTGTGTCAAATACACATGCAAATTGACAAAAACATGTCCGTTTACTTTCGAGCACAAGTCATCAACTCCATTCCCAGACCCCATTATCGAGCAATCACCAGCGTATGAGACAATTGAGACTCCCTCAACCACCAGAGAGAGCCGCTACAACAACAATAATGTAAAAAAGCCATCGATAGTGCCACCAATAGTTTCAGACCACTAGCTTAACAGTTGACAGGCTAACTGATTCAGGCAGGGCTCAGTAGTGCCGTTACAACAACAACAACAACAAATAACAGGTCATGAGGCAGTCACCCTCACTGTCACTCCCGCTACACATCTCAAAAACTATTTGGAGAACGTGTGTGCTGTTACAACAACAACAACAGACAGTCACCTCGGCTCGATTTCTCAAAATCCTATGGCGTATTTTTATATTACAAAAACGACTGAGAGACAGACTGATCTAGGCTGCAACAACATTTAAACATCAGTAACTTTGATATAAAAGGTTTGTACTTACATATAATTTTATAATTAAATCTCATATTTAAGCGTTCTACAACCTTATTTAAATTTTTAACTATTCCAAGACGCAGCTGCAAGTTGCATTTCCGATTTCCTGTTCATCCAAAAGTTCGATAATCTCTTCAGCTCATAAATTTGTTTTCACAAAAACCGTTTCACTGAAACACTTTTAAACACATAATTTGTTGAGCACTTTGAAAATACGAATTTACACACTTTCTTTTACACTCTTTAATTGTATACTTTTAATTTTAAATTTGTAGCTACTTGTTGTACTCCATTTTCGCGCCCGAAAAGCAACAGCGCCATCTGCTAGTAAAGTTTTGCACAGGCTGCCTGAAATGACAATTTATCGAAAGAAGTTTTTGTTTTTATTTTTAGTCGCGGCATACATAAATACAAAAATGTTTAGTTTTTGAAGTATACAAAATATATTTAAAATTTTAACAATTAATGTCGATGATAAATTCCAAAAGCTTGATTTATCTTTTCGATAACACTTTCCAACAGATGTCGCCACGAATAAAACATCAGATGTTCGCGCCAACAGCTGTTTTGTAAACGGAAAAAATTCAGGGAATTCGTTATAAAAATCGTGAAAAACCGTAAATTATGTTAAAATCTAAGATATTTCGCATCATTAGTGCTAATAGAATTAATATTCCATTGCTGCGTGCATTCCATCATGAATTTTCACAAACGGAGCCACAAAAAGATGAAATCAGCAATACGGATACAAAATCCCAGCCCTTAACAGAAGCGGCCACTGCATCAAAGGTGAGACATTTCGCGGTAGCTCATTTAAAATTAGCAATTAATTAATTAAACTTTTAGGTTCACAATACAATATCAGGCACAATTAGAAACAAATATCAAATATTTCACGACGAAGATGCCACCGAGATCTTTGATGTCGAAGAGGAGCGCCAACGTTACGAGACCGAAGAAGAGCCAAAGCAGACGATGAACGACGAGTTCTTGGGCCTAAACTTGAATCGTAATGTATTGTTTATGTACTATATTCGAATATTTTCCATCAGTTATTTCTAGATGGCGAGCATGGTGTATTTGATGTAGAGGATCTTGTAGACGTATTACGCAAAGAGAGCGCCGAAGATATTTTTGTATGCTCTGTACCCAAAGATCTGAATTATGTCGATTATATGGTGGTGTGTAGTGGACGAAGCTACAGACATATGCTGGCGATTGCGGAATTTGTGAGGCGCATATATAAAGTTAAGCGCACGAAGGGTGAGGTGCCGCCAAAGATTGAAGGCGAGAAGAGTCGTCAATGGATGGCATTGGATTTAGGTAGATATAAATTAAAACAATAATGTAGAAATTCGAATCAATTAGACAAATTCATTTTTTTTAAGGTAACATAGCCTTACATGTATTCTCACCAGAAGCGCGAGAACAATACGATTTAGAGTCACTATGGGCTATTGGAATCGAATATGATAAGGAAAGTAACAAACCACAAGACCCGCTTGTGGAACTATTTGAAAAAAATTCTATACAACTAGGAGACATGCAACCACACAAACATTGAGATGCCGTCCACACAGATGAGTTCGTTTAATTTTATTTTTATTGTCTATGTAGCAGTAATGGTAGTAGTAATTAGCTAAAATTAAAATGTTTCACCACTTTATTGAATTATTTGAAAACTTTTTATGAAAATCATATAAACTGGGGAAAACGAAATGCTCCTCAACTTGATCGCCATATTTTCCGATTAGTAAGCTAGCATTCTTCTCATGTATCAGTGCGGAATTCCAGCCAACATTTTTCGCTGCTAAGTAATCGGTAGTGGGTCCATCGCCGATATGTAAGCATTCTTCAGGTTTTAAATCTTTCAACTCAGACAGGCGCATAGCAAAATGAAATATTTCTGGGTTTGGTTTCTCAACGTTACTATCATAAGAATTGATTGCAAAATCAAAATAATGTTGAATTTTGAGATTACGCAATAAAATGTCCAAGCGCGGATCAAAATTTGCAATGACCCCAAGAGAAATTGGCGATTTATTATTGCTCTGATTATTTCCAACTTCATTATCGCTATGGTTGGTGGGTGCGAGTTGTTGTTGCAGGCGCAAATAGTTGAGTAAGTCGATGCTGCCGTTGCAATTTTGCCAACAAAGACTAGTCTTATAAAGCTCCAGCAGATGATTGGCCAAATTGCCTAATTTCTCCTCGGGGATCAAGGAACCGCTGTCAGCAAAAGTGGCTGTAAAAGTATAAAAATTATGAGTCCATTGGGTATAAGGATAAAATAATCACCACTTCCTTTTAAATCACAATGAAATGCAAGTATTTTGGTTATTCGTACCAACTTACCACCAATAAGTTGATGCCACCACTGCTGCCAGCCAATACTTGAATTTCGTCCAAAGTTGGGATATTTTCTATTCATGAGATACCTACGCATAAATGGAAAAAAAATCGATAAGAATCAACTCAGTTTTTGTTTTTCCAACGAACGCACTTACCAATTTGTCTTAAAATTTCTTGCAAGTTCATCATTGTCACAAAGTACACCGAAGAGTGCACCAATTTCTCCATATTGCTTGCCAGGACTTGTACGAAACTGGAGTAATGTATTGGTGACATCAAAGGTGATTAAACGCAAACGACCCAAAGCACTTGTCATCGTGGACGAATGCTCTGTTTATGTTGGCGATTTTGAAATTATTGCCTACTTTTTTATGCTATGTATTGGAATCACGTACGCCAGCAAATCTTGTCTTTACATTTATGCACATATATACTGTGCTTGTATGGTAACTTGCTACTCTTTGTCGATGCTAATTAACCAAGGCTCTCCATACAACTGTTTTTGCGATTGATGTTTATTGACTTTGTAGCAAGTGAAATCTTGTTTTTATGAATTTGGATGTCTTATCAATGAAAACAAATGAGAACTTGCCCTGCTGACGCTTTGTCGGGGATAATCTGTTATCTGTTGGTCTCTGTATACCTATGCACACATGTGAATGGTTTTAGTAAATTAAAAGTATTTTCGTTCAATTTATGAAACACATTTTTGGAAGTAAGAGATAGTAGCTGCGTAATGATTGTTGTGCATGCACTTTTTATTGCCAAATTGACCTTTGAACTTTTTACGATTAAGCGCTGAAAAATGTATATCGGCATACACAAGACAATACATACATCCACATATATATGTATGCATATGTTTGTATGTATGTACGTTTGAATAGCTTATATATTCTTATCTACCATAATATTACAAGGTATCGTCCACTTCACATTTTACTACAAAAACACTCTATTTATTTATTTATTATTTTTTGTTATCGAAATTTTTTTACAATAGTACACTCCAACTTCTTTACGCTTTTGGTATAAAAATATTTATGTGCAAACATCTGTACATTTGTATTACTTTTTGTCCAAATGCGCGATTATCCAATTTGTTTATTGAATATTTATTGCATTTCTTCTTTGGCTTGCAATTATGTATTTCTTCAGTCACTTGCGGTTTAGTAGTTAGGAACCTGCGAATGTGTTAACTACATATATATGTATAAGCACAAGCAAATAAGTAAAAGAAAATGCTACTCCGGTAAATTTCAGTAGATACCACTAACAATGCCATTTTGATATGCTTCAGACTGCATTTCAATTTGTCTGCCTGAATTGTTGTTGTTTGTTTTCTTTTATTGCGAGTGCCACACTATTTTGGGGGAATATGCCACCCTCTCTGCCCACTGAAGCGCATTAACTACAACAAAGGGCATACACCACAGGCGTTTCTTGCAAAACCACTTTGCTTTGCGCGGCACTGGAAGAGCACCGCGTCGTTGCATTGTTATTATTTGCTCTCAACCTAATGATGTTTTCGTTTTACTATGCTTTTGCTGCTTGCAATTTTTTGTGTGTGGCTACTTTTATATTTCCTTACATTCTCTCTTAGTTTAAATTTCATACCGGCAAAGAGTTTTCTTTGTTTGGTTCAAATACATGTAAATACTATATATGTATGTCGGCATGTACACTTTGGTAAGCAGCCTAAACGTATGCTACATTTTTATTCGACAATACTTTTAACATATTGGGGGAAAAAGCATCAGATTATGGCTTTTGGTATGCACGCTACACTTGATGTGTGATTTTGTAATAAATTTGCAAGGTTTAGCATAAATTCATAGAAATCTCACTACAAAAATCCTAATGCTATTTTCCTGACCTCGTTTATTTCTGATTCCATTACACTTACGAAGCGGATGATATTTGCTTTAATAGAAGGAGTACGAAAGATGAACTGTTGTTGTTGTAGCGGCACTAATAAGCCCCGCCTGTTTCGGGTCAACTTTTCAATCATTATCGTCGAGCTCAACTAACGGCAGGCCCAGGAAACGAGCTGTTTCGATGGGGTCGGACCAAAGGGAGAGGGGTGTTAGTTGAGTCGGATTGAGCTGGCATGTGAAGAGGTGGTTGGTGTCATGGGGGGAGTCTCCACATGCCGGACACTCATTTGGGATGTTTGGGTCGAGTCTGGACAGGTAGCTGTTTAGGCGGCTACAATATCCAGACCTTAACTGAGCCAGAGTAACGCGGGTCTCTCTTGGTAACTGAAGCTCCGTCTCTTCCACAGGTGGTGATTGGGCTCCGATAACGACATTCCTAGGCCTGGAGTCGAGGTAGGTGGAGACTGACTCCCTATGAATGTCGTTGATCGCTTGTCTGTACGTCATTGGGTCCAGTGGTTGGTCTGTGTAGGTCTGGACTGCGTCCTTGTACACGAATAGGTGCCCCTGACGTGCCTGGGCGGAGGCTCCTCCTCCAGCAGTGGTCTGTTAGGGTGTTCACTTCTGTGACACCCCACCAGAAACTGCTTAGTGAGCATTTTATTGTGTTCCCGTACGGGGAGCACTTGGGCCTCGCTGTGTAAGTGATGCTCAGGCGTCATCAGAAGGCACCCAGTCGCTGTCCGGAGTGCGGCGTTCTGACAAGTCTGTAGCTTCGTCCACTGCGTCCAACTAGTCCCCGGAGACCAAACAGGCGCTGCATAGTTTAGAACCGGCCGGCCAATTGCCTTGTATGTTGCCAGCAACGTTTCTTTGTCTTTGCCCCAAGTGCTGCCGGCGAGCGACTTGAGGACCTTGTTGCGGCTCTGTACTTTGTTGACAACTGCGGTTGTGTTCGCGGAGAAGGAGAGCAGGCTATCAAAGGTAACCCCTAAAATTTTTGGGTTGTTCACCGTCGGTATTGGTGTGCCGTCGACGTGAATGCCTAATTCTAGCCTGACCTCCTTCGTCCAGGTGGTGAAGAGGGTCGCCGTTGATTTCGTTGGGGAGAGGGTTAGGCTCCTTGCAGTGAAGAAGCGAGAAAGGCTGGAGAGATAGCCGTTTACTTTTGAGCAGAGGTCATCAATTCCATTCCCGGACGCCAAAATCGAACAATCATCAGCGTACGAGATCAGGGAAACTCCTTCAGGAGGCTGGGGGAGTTTCGAGATGTAGAAGTTACAAAGTAAGGGGGAGAGAACACAACCTTGTGGAACCCCTTGTTTTATTCTTCTTGGTTTCGAGGTTTGATCTCTGAAGATTACTGATGATTGTCGACCACTCATATAATTCGCCGACCATCGCCGACCCTGTGGGAGAGAGGAGGCCTCAATGTCTTCTAGCAGCGTGGAATGGCAGACGGTGTCAAACGCCTTTGACAAGTCCAACGCTACTAGGACAGTTCTCTCACAGGGGCGGTTGCGATTTAGGCCACGAGTTATCTGGGTGTTTATGGCGTTAAGTGCTGTTGTTGTGCTGTGCACTTTACGGAAGCCATGCTGATGTTTCGCTGGGGTTAGGTGGCAGGTGAAGTATGGGAGCAGCAGGGCCTCAAGTGTCTTCGCGACCGGGGAAATGAAATTTCCACTCTGTCATCACGCTTCGTCGGGTTGGACAAGGACCTCACGGTTGACCAGAGCTTACTCACACCAGAGGTGAAGTTACAGGCCTTCAAGTGCTCTTCCCACTTTTTCCGCTTATGTTGATTTACCAGTTGCCGAATCTCCAAATTAAGGTCCCTCAAGCGAGGGTCCCCGGGGTCGACCTGGCGTAGGTGGTCACGCTCATTTGCTAGAACAGCTGCTTCAGCCGGGAAATTTGGGCGGACTTCCGCGATGCGTCCGGACGGTATGAAGCGAGCTGCTGCGGCAGTGAGTACCCTGCGGAACTGGCGTTCGCCAGCATGTACGTCTGTGGGTGTGGGGAGGGCGGCGAAGCTGCTCTCGGTAACTTCCGCGAAGCCGTTCCAATCAGCTTTGTTAAAGTTGGTGTAGGTTCGGTGATCCGCGGGAGCAAAGTCGGTGGGCTTATTGATCGAGATGATTATGGGCAGATGGTCTGATGCTAACGATAGCATAGGTCGCCATGATATGCTATTTATCAGACCAGCGCTTGCAATTGTTAGGTCTGGCGAGCTGCTGCAGCTGCCCACAATCCTGGTGGGGACGTCGTCGTTCATGGTGCAGAATGTCGAATCGTCTATCTGCTCAGCCAAAATGTTTCCCCTCCGATCATTGGCCAGGCTTGAGTGCCAAAGATCGTGGTGCGCATTGAAGTCACCTACTACCAGTCGGTTTTCGCCTCTGAGTAGCGCACCTATATCAGGGAGATATCCAGCCGGGCAGCAGGTGACAGGGGGTATGTACACGTTAAATATTTCGAGCTCGACATCGCCTGACCGGACAGCTATGCCCTGACATTCTAGGGTGGTGTCCCTTGGGTCGATGTCTTCTTCGATTAGCCGATACTGCACTGTGTGGTGTAGAATGAACGCTAATCCTCCACCATTATCTCGCTCGCGATCTTTACGGAGCACATTGTAGGCTGCGCAACCCAACAAGGTTGAGTTGCTGTGCAACTTCGTTTCTTGGACCGCAGCTATCAATATGCCGTGCCGACCCATGAAGACTGCTATCTCCTCAATCTTGCTCTGGAGTCCGTTGCAGTTAAGTTGGAGTACGTTCGTATGCCTTGGGAGGCTGGTCGCGATTCGGGGGGTGAGGGAAGTGTGGGGCCTACCGGCCTGTTGCGCATGACGCAGTTGCTGTTGCAGCCTGATGGTAGGTGGCTGCGATGTGGGCGTTGTTGTCTGCGCCGGCGGTGCGCTACAGCAAGGGGCGCTGTAGTTGGTAGTCCACTCGCGTGTGGTGCGTAGACTAGAACATAGCCGGAAGTGGCACCAGCCAAGGCATGTGTTGCATTTGACTGATGTCACATTCCGGTATATTCTGTTCTGGCACACGGAGCAGATGGTGTGGGCAACCAGCAGCTTGTGGTTGGCTCGCGCTCGCGAGTGGGACCGGCCGGTAGGTTGTGTGGGTGGGGTGTGTTGGGAGGTTTGCTGTTGCTCAGAGGAGCTTCTAGGGCCCGTGCAGGCTCTTCGGGTGCTAGGTCGCACCCGTGCATTACGCGAGTGGGTAGCCGTGGAGGCTGATTGTGCCATTTGGCTTGAGCAACAGGGAGGCACAAAGTTTTTGGTCCACTCCCGGTGAGACCTAAGGCCAGAGCAGGTTCTTAGGTGACTCCATCCGTTGCAGGAGTTGCACCTAACCGAAGTGGAGTTCGGGTGGAGTCGATTCTGGCAAACACAGCAGAAGTAAGTTTCAGGTCCGGGGTTGGGCTCTACGCCCGCCCGGAGAAGAAGGATGCGGGGCAATCCGGCTGCAAGGTATTGCTCCATGGACGAATAATGATTGGTGGGTATCGCCGATCTAGACGGGGTTAGATCGCCGAAACAACAGCCCTTGGTCGGGTGAAACCCGAGTCATTCCGGTACGTAGAACCGGCTATTGAACTGTCTTTTCTTCCGGCAGAAACCAGGATAGGACGTCGAGCTATGCGAACATAGCAAAGATTTTGCAAGCTGCACAGCATCACCCCCGCACTAAAGGCCATCGCCGCATATATGTATATCAAAGGGTTTTACTAGGCCAAATCACGGCACACTGCTTGAGGATACAACATTCTCTGCACTACCAGCTTTCAAAAGAGGATACGTAGCTAGCCAACGGAGCGATAGGCAATCATCGGTTGTATTCAGCAAAAAGACCTCAAAAATCAGAGGGGTAAAACAGGAAGTCCTACAAGGCGGCGTTCTTTCTTCATTTCTGCTTCACCAGTTACCATACCAATTTCCCACATCTGTTCAAGGGGGTTTCGATTATCTCATATGCCAATCAATTCTCTATTATGGCCACCGTGCATAACATTGTTGGGCACTAAACACCAATAAGCAGCTACCTTAGCGACCCAAAGCACTTCTTCGCGACATTTGACTTGCATATTTGCGAGCATCCAACTGAACCTGGAGGTCGATGAATCAAGAATTTCGACCGTGAACTACCCTAAGTTTCTGGGTTTCGATAGCCTCCATTCCTTCTCGTTTGACGCGACAGCCATGGGAAGAAAATCCAACACTCGGGAGATAAAATACAAGGGGAACTACTCTGGAATGCTATACGGAAGAGCAATGCGATGCGATAGGCAAAAACGTCGGCAGTAATTCGCTGTGGCGATAGCCTATCGCATCGCATTTCTCTTTCGCATCGCATTTCTCTTTCGCATCGCATTACAGAGTAGCCCCATTTGCAACGCTAAGCCATCCCAGTGTGGTCTGAGGGGCTCGAGTGACTTAAAGCGCAAACAGTCAACGACGTAACGTAGACGTAGGTTGACCCAGACGCGATCTACCTTATGGGATGCGCGTCTCTCTCTCTCTATCAACAGTAAATTTTATATGCTGCTACGTACG